TAGAATATTGTGCAAAAGTTATTTTTTAGAAATGAAACCCTTAAAGGTGAAAACTAATTTATGAGTAGACTAAATATGAAAAGAAAGAAAATTCAAGCGGGGTTTTATAATTTTTGTGTTAGGGCTTACAGCTCATGAAAACCCAAACCCAAAACCAAAAAATTAGAATTTTGTGAAAAGGTGCAATATTCTGGTCAAGTGTCCCACTTAACACTAATTACCAAAAACACCTAAAAAGGGGTTTCCCTGACCCTTTAAATGACTCTCATTGGGTTTCAGAAGGAATCACAATAGGGGAAAAAGATGCTCACCTGACGTTGTGTAGAAAACCATCATTGAACCCCCAAAAGGGAGGGAAACCCCCAAAAGGTATTGCAAAAAAAGTTGGTTTTCCCAAAGTGTTGTATAAAAGCACTTTAAATAGAAAGTTATTGAAGGGAAAAGTGGGGAAGAAAAAGGGTGCACAAGCGCGGGGGATGACCGCAGCCTGGAGAGGTTTGTCAGGAAAAGGTCGTCAAAAGTTTTGGGGGGACTTTCACAAAGAATGGACTGAGGTTGTAGTCAGTGCATAAAGAGCCACCACACACGACGGTTCGGGACAGGGCATCAAATGTTGTATTCCTCTTGTAAACCCCCGAACAAAAAAACAATTTCAAAGCGTCTTCCCTGGGCTAAAAAAAAAACAGACCTGGTCGTTGCTTGGTCCAAAGTCTTTTTTCTTATGAGAGCAACTCTTGTTCTCATTAAAAACCCAAAAACCCCAGAGTATGGGGGAAGAATGGAGAGGCCACATTGAAAGAGGGTTGAGTCCAGTGTGAATTTTCCACAGCTGTGTTGATTTGGGGAGTCATGTTATTGCTGAGTTGGTCCACTGTGCTTCTTAAGCCCGGGTAAAACGCAGCTGTTCCCGGGGATTTTTGGAGCCTTCATGTTCCCTTCCGAGAAAAGCTTTATAGGGATGCGATTCTTTTTCCCGCAGGACTTGGCACCTCCCCACACGCCAAAAGACCAAAACCGGGTTAAATGACCGTGGATTACTGGCTTGATGGCCAGCCTCATGACCTGAACCCCATAAGAATCTATGGGGTTTTCCCAAGAGAAAGATGAGGACATGAGATCGAAAATGCAAAAGAGCTGAAGGCGTTTTTGAAGCACCCTGGTTTTCCCATAACCCCTCAGCAGGCCACAGGCTATAGTTTCCATGCCATCCCGCATTGAGGCATTTAATTGTTGCAAAGGGGCCCAACCAAGTACTGAGTACAATGCATGCTTATATTTTCGAGGCCCGATATTTTTCCATGTACAATCCTTTTTTTTTTTGATTTGCAGTAATTTTAAAAAATTTTTAGATTGGGGATTTGGGGTTTTTCATGAGCGTAAACCATAATCATCACAATATGACAAATCACAGTTGAATATCTTGCTTTGATGTAATAGTTATCTCATAATTAGTTTCACCTTTTAAGTTGCATTACTGAAAAAAAATTAATTTGCATGATTTCTTTTTTTTGAGTTTCCCCTGTGTGTTTTTTTTAAATATATATATATATATACAAAGTCCCAAAATTGTGCAAACATAAAAAAATTTCCAAAAATTTTTTAAAAAAAGCCCCAAAAAAAAACCCAAAAAAACCCCACACCCGATGTAAATTTTAAAGGATACGTAGTAAATTTCTTATCCATAAAAAATTCTCTGGCGTAGTGCCCCAATTGTTCCCCTCAGACCCCCATCACCACGAAAATTGAGCATCTAAAAGGGTAGGTCAAATATCGCAGAGTGTTGCAGCGCTTCCTGCAGGAAAGTTGGCCCGTCTGTGTGGTCTTGCACTCTATACGCTGAAACAGGCTCATAGGGGAAAAACCTCTAGAAAATTTTTGCAAAAAAAACCCCTCCAGAACTCCACGTACTCCTCCCCACCATAAAAACATAAAAGGGGAAATTTCCATAGTTTTAACACTTATTTTTTGGGGGAAAAAAAATTTTTAAAAATTGCATTTACATAAAAACCATGTGTTGAATTTTAAAACCCCCACAAAAAGCAATTCCTTTCAGGGGACAAGTGTAGCCTATCAAGCCCCTCTACTGTTTCGTCGTATAGTCATCAGGAGCTTTAATAAATCTGCTTTCTTAAAATTTTAATTTCCCCCTCCATGCTGCCCAAAAAAGACTTTTTGTCATTTTATTAAACCTTTTCATCAGTCCTCGCGGTCTTTCTTTACTTTTAACTCATTTCTCCCCCTCCCCCTAGTAACTCACTCAATGCTTACAAGATTGAAAATCATTTCAAAAAAAAGTTTAGCAATTCTGGGGGGCATTTCCATACACAGAATTATCCCATTAAACATACCCTTTATAAACCCCCCTTAACCCTTTCCCCTTTTTGCCTTGCTAAAACTGAAGGGTCACTAAAAATTTCTAAGAAGCCCCCCCTCACCAACTGTCCCTGGTCCTTTTTCCCCCACAAAAACTAGGTCTCCTTCTCTTCTTCTTTGCTCCCTCACTCAATTTCAATCTCTCCCTCTTACAGGGACCTTCCCCCCCCCCTCTAAAACTTTCACAGATCACTTTATACTTAAAAAGCTTCCGGGGCTCCCCCCAACCTGAACAATTTAAGACCCTATCCCTGCTCCGTTTACCTTAAACTTTTAGAACGCTAGTCACAAAAGTTGAGCTCCTACCCCCCTAACAAACCTTATTGACCCCTTTTAAAACTGGGTTTTGTCATAACCCATTACAAAATCCCTACTAAAAACCCCCCTAATGATCTACTAAATGCTAAAAACCATGACCACTACTCCATACCCATACTTGACCTCTGTGTGGCTTTTTATACTGTTGGGCCATAACCCCCTCCTAAAAAAACTCCCTCTCCGAGTCTCTCCGACCTCCCCCAACTTGCTCTTCCTGGTTTTCCCCCGCCTATCGCAACGCTCCCTCAGTGTTACTTCAGGGGTCCCCGGGAAAGACCAAGGTGGTGGACCGACACAGGGAAACAGATTAGGTATAGCATTTAAACAAGTAAATTTATTAAGGACAACACAAAATAAACGCAGTGCACAAACCAAAAACCCAAAGTAACACAAATACATACAAAAAGGTGAAACAAAACCCCAAAACCCAAACTGAATATATATGTAATAAATAATGGAGACAACGTGTCAGGCGGGGGGTCGGTAGCTAAAGGCAGACAAGGTACAAGGAGTACAGAAAAATTGGGCAGGAGTAGTGAGGGCGGGCAGGGAAAATCAAACAAGTCAGGATAAGGCAGGAAAACAGACAGGATGGGGGTACAGGGGCTTATGGGAACAATACACCAAGGCACTGACTGCAGGCCTGGCCATTTCCCTTTAAAAACACCTCCTGCAAACAGCCTAGGTGATGCTGATTGCAGGGGGTGAGTTTGGTGTGAGGGGACCCCCCTTGCCAGCCTGGTCTGCAGCCACTGGGAGGGGATCCCACCACCAGTGGTGCATCCATTCCGCAGTACCCCCCCCCCCCCCCCAAGGAGCGGTGTCAGGAATGGACTGGCCAGCAATGGGGGGACTCCCTGCCCTTTTTATCTGCATTTCCGGGGTGGCCAGCGGGGGCTCCCAGCAATCAGGACTCAACCTTTTAGCCAGCTAAAACTGGGAAATGATTTTTGGTGTATTTAAGGGTGGCAACCCGCAGACTCTGCCTTGGGGGTTTTGTTTTTCCTGGGCCCTGTATCTGTCCTGCATCCGTTTCTGTTCCTTTGTGACCCTGCCTGATCTGAACCGTGCTGACTTTTTTCCCGCTTGATCCCGGGTCGCTCCCGACCATCCCTCTGCCCGACCCTCTGTACCCCGCTGCTTGCTACCTGTTCTGATCCCCGGCTTTGACCCTCCATCCCTCTGCCCGACCCTTGACCCGCTGCTTGCTACCTGTTTGGATCCCCCCCCCCCGGGTTTTTTGACCCTGGGACCATCCCCCGCCCACCCTCTGTACTTCCTGCTTTTCTACCTGCTGAACCTGGGACCCCCGACCAAAATCTCCCCCTTGCTTGATGTATGTTTCTTGGGTGGTTCTTTGGTTTGCTTCCTGTATTATTTTTAGTATTGCCTGTGTTTGTTTGTATTGTTGGTTAATAAATTTATTGTTTATAATATCTGAAGTCGCTTTCCTGCGCATCACACACCGGTCATACCCGGGAGCCCCAAAAGCGGCCTCAGGAGCTCCAAACAGTCCTTAGTAGCAAAATGTCCCACCCCCCGGGTAGGTAACTGGTCAATATCCTACTGCCCGGGGTCAAACGGGTGGGTGGGTTTCCTGCGGGGAGAAAAGTTCTTTGTGTAGGGAACCCAGGAAGGGAGGTTCCGGACACGGATCCCAGGAGCAGGGGGGAAAGTTATTGGCCAGTTTTTTAGTGGCTCGGGGTGGCACATCAGGCTGGGCAGGCGGACGAGGCCAAACAGGTGGGCAGGGCAGAGGCACATCAGGCTGGGCAGCAGACAGAGGACCTCAGGCTAGGGAGCCCGCACCGGAACATCAGGCGGGCAGCAGGCACCGAACTCAGGCTGGCGCGGGCACCCGAACATAGGGTGGGCAGCTGGCACCCCGGAACATCGGGGGGCGCGGGGGACCGGAAATCGAGCGAGTAGCGGCCCGGTGGGGGCAGCGGGGAAGGCCATCGGGGGAGGGGCGGGCACCGGCCCCCTCAGGAAGACGTGGGGACCGAGGGATGGCCCCGCGCGGGACCAATAATTGGCTTGACAGCGGGACCCAAATCATCTGGCGCGACAGCGGGCACCTATTTTGGCACGACAGCGGGCACCGAGTCATCTGGCAGAACAGCGGGGGACCGGGTCACCAAGCTCGACAGCGGGCACCGAGTCATCTGGCTCGACAGCGGGCACCGAGTCATCTGGGACAACAGCGGGCACTGAGTCATCTGGCAGAACAGCGGGGCAACCGGGTCACCAAGCTCGACAGCGGGCACCGAGTCATCTGGCACGACAGCGGGTACCGAGTCATCTGACATGACGGGGGGCACCGGGTCAGCTGGCATAACCACGGGCCCCCGGGTCACCAAACTTGACAGCGGGCACCGAGTCATTGGCATGACAGCGGGCACCGAGTCACCAACCCCCGACAGCGGGCACCGAGCCATTGGACACAGCGGGCCCCGAGCCCTTGGCAGACAGGGGGACCGAGCCTTCTGGCACGACAGGGGCCCCGAGTCTCTAGCACGAGTCATCTAGCAGATGTTTCCCCTACCCCCCTGATGACCCACCTCCCTGATGACCCGATCCAGCCTGTGCCCCCGATCCACCTGATGACCCATCCAGCCTACGCCGGCCCCCGGGGCCCGCCCCCTGACGCCCCATGCCCGCGGTCCCCTGACCCCCCGGTGCCGCGGTGGGCTGGTGATCGGTGCCCGCGTCGGCTTGGTGACTTCCCCTCAGAGAACTCCGGCCCTGATCTATAGGAAATGAAAAAACCGTATGATTCACGCTGATCCTGCAACCCCTTCAGAGTCTGAAGGAAATTGATCTCTGTATCTAGGACAGCAGAAACAAATATACAACATCCTCGGGGTCATCCTTCCAAAAATAAGCCAAGATGGCTTCCCTGTGCAGCCACTTTGGTCAGGAGGGCCTTGTGTAATGTCGGACCCCGGGGTTTGACCAGAGGTGTGTGGCCCCGACACAGGGAAACACAGACTTATTTTAAGCGTGTAAACAAGATAATTTAATAAGGACACACAAAAACAGACATAAACACCCCCAAAAGCAAAAAAAACAAAAAAACACAAATACAGAAAAAATCAGGGAAAAAAACAAAAAAAAAAAAAACAGAAAAAAAATGAACAAAATAAAAAAAAATACAAAGAAAAAAAAAAAAAAAAAAAAAATAAAAAAAATTGAATAAATTAACAACGTAAGGAATAAAAAAAAAAAAGAATAAAAACAATATAAACAAAACAAAAAAAAAAGAAATAAATAAAAAAATAAAAAAAAGAAAAAAAAAGAAAAAAAAAAAAAAAAAAACTAAAAAAAAAAAAAAAAAAGATAAAAAATAAGCACGTAAAAAAAAGAAATAAACAACAAAAAAAAAAAAAAAAAATCAAAAAAGACAAAAAAAAAATAAAATAAAAAAAAAAGCAAAAATAAAAAAAATAAAATTCAAATAAAAGACAAGTAAACAAAAAAAAAAGAGTAAAAAAGAAAAAACTTAAGACCCCTTCCTTCTCCATCTAGATTTCCCTCCCTTGGCATTTGAAAAACCCCCCGGGCCCCAAAATACCATCTCAAGCTGATGACACACATCTATCTTTTACTTCTCTCCCCTTTCGTCTCCCGGCATTACTAATTACAAAGTGACATTCAGCTGGATGTACTCCACTTCCTCAAACAAATTTTTTTCTAAAAGGGGAGAATAATTTTCCCCTCCGCCTCCCCCCCCCCTGACTTCCCACAAGAACAATAATAAACCTCAGTCCCTTCCCTATGCCAGGGTACTGGGTTTTAAAATCTTGGACTCCCATTTTCCCTTTAGCCCCAAATCCAATAAATGCCAAATCTTGTAGACTTCACCCCCCACAAATCCCCAAATATCCCCGTTTTTAACCCAAAAACCACAAGCAACTTGTTCACCCCCCTTTAAATTTAAAATACACAGCACAAAAACCCCGTGTAATACCCCTAAAAAGTTATCCACCTCCCCCCCTTTAAAGGTAAAAAAAAAAACTAAATAAATACACAAATAAAATGTGAAAAACACATAACACAAGAAAAAAAAACAAAAAAAAAAAAAAGAATAAAATAAAAAAAAGAAAAAAAACACAAAAACACATCATAAAACGAAAGTTAAACAAACAAAACAAAAAGAAGCAAAAAAAAAAAAAAAAAAACAAACAAAAAAAAAAGATAAAATATAGAATAACATAAAAAATAAAAAATAAATAAAATAAAAAATCAAAAAATAGAAAAAAAAAAAAAAAAAAAAAAACAACTTTGGTTGACAATAATATATTTAATGGGGGTTTTTTGGTGTTTTTTTTTTTTTTTTTGTATTGGTAAAATAAAAAAAAGAAACAATAAAAAAAAAAAAATAAAATAAAAAAAAAAAAAATATTCTAAAATACAAATCAAAATAACAGAGAAATAAAAAAAATAATAAATAAAAAAAAAAAAAAAAAATAAAAAAAAAAAAAAGAAAAATAAAAACTCAAACACACAAAACTAAATAAACCAATAAGCAAAAATAAAATAATAAAAAAAAAACAAAGACAAACAAAAAAAAAACACAAAAAAAAAAAAAAAAAAAAATAATAATAAAAAACTAAAAAAATAAAAAAAAAAAAAAAAAACTAAAAACAAAAAACAACAAAAAAAAAAAATAAAACCAAATCAAACAAAAAATAAGACAAGATAACAAAAAAAAACAGAATAAAAAATAAGGACAAAAAAAAAAAAAAAAAAAGATACATAAAAAACAAATATACACAAAGTGAGACAAAAAGAAAAAAAAAAAAATACATTAATAAAAACTCCATTCAAAGACTATAACACACTAAAAAAATTATATAATAACAAAATAAATTAACAAACAAAAAAAAAAAAATATATAAATGAATAAAAAAAACATTACTAATTAAAATACATACAAAAAATAAAAAAGAAAAAAAAAACAATACCATTTAAAGATAAATACAATTCATATAAAAAAAAACATAATAATACAAAACAATAACACAACAAAAAATAAATACATAATCACAAACAAAAACAAAACAAAAAAAAAAAATATAAATACTAACTCTAAGATCATCTATAAAAAGAAAAAAATCTCTAAATTAAAATCAATAACCGCATAAATAACTCTAGATTTACTTTTTTTTAAAATAATATACAAAAAAAAAATGAAAAAACTAATTATCTTTAGAAAGATAAAAAAATTATACTCAAAAGAAAAAAAAAAAAAAATAAAAATACAGATAATATACAATAAGAGTAAAAAATAACACATATATATTGCTCAAATTTAACTATTATCATTAGTTAATATTTTAAGTTGAGTAGACATTTATAATAAGAACATAAATTTTGTTTTTCCAAATTAATTTTTTTTCTTTTATAATCATACTTATAATATAAAATTTATTATTATATATTTTATATATTATTTTATTATTATTTTATTTTTATTAATTATTATATATTTAATACATATTATTTAATTTTTTTTAATTAATTAATTATTTTATTTTATTATTTTATTTATTTTTTTTTTTTAATACTTCATTTATGTTATTTTTATTTTCAAACGTTAATATAATAATTAAGAGAAATGCGTCTCTAAAATCACAATATAAAATATAATAAAATTAAGTAATATACAAAATTAAAACCCTTTTTATTTTATAAAAAATAAAATTTATCATTCTTAGTTAAAAGGTTTTTCTTTTCCTGGAGGGTTTTTAAATTTTTTCCTTTAGAACAAAAAATTTGAGGTCTTCCTTTATTGTGGCCGGGGTTTTGAAAAAATTGGTGCCCTTTCAGGTGTGCAGAGGTAAACTTCTTTTTTTCCCTTAAAGGGGAGGGTCTGGAAAATTCACCCGTGTTTGAAAACTCTGCCCCTGTTTAACCAACATAAGACCCTTTTTGCTGCTTTTCCCTCCCACTGGATAAGGTATCCCAACATTATTTGGAGGGGGCAGCGTATGATCCGGAGATATTGAAAACCCCTTTTTGAGTGCCCTGACACTTTTTGATGGATTGTTTTGGGTTTTGACAGCTTGAAAAGCGTTTCTTATTGCAGGGTTTGCTTCCATTATTTGTGGCATCATAATCGAAGGAAGTTTCCCTACTGATTATTTTATTTCAAAGGGGGGTTGTCTGAAACCCAAAGTATTGGGGGTTGCAAAAAATTTCCCTTTCAGATTTCCCCATCCCTGTTTGTTTGGGTTGTAAATCTTTGATTTTTTTTTTTTTTCTTATCCCTTCAGTGCCGGGTTGTATTAGTTTCTAGAGGTACACGGTTTTTTTGTTTTTTTTTTCTTTGTATTTAAGCAGTTTTTCCCTTGGGGTTTAAAGGCTGTTTTTTATGTGGTGTTGATATTTTGCCCTTTGGGAAACCCTTTCTTTTTGGGAAGCGTCGGCTAGGTCCCAAAAATGTTTATCTCTGTCTGGGGGGTCAGAACATCCTGGGGTGGTATCTGAGGGCCCCTGACTGTGTTGATGGCACTTTTGGGTGTGTTGGGGGGGGAAGTAGAACTTTTGGGGGTTTAGTTGCTTCTGTCGGGGGGTTTCCTGTATTTTGGGGTTGTAAAACCCGTATCACCCCTGATTACGGGGTGCCCTAGGAAGTTGACCTTGTGTTTGAGTTTTTCCTTTTTTTATTTTTTGATTGATGGTTTGAAAAGTTTTCATCAATGAGAAAAATTTGTTTTTAGTTTTTCTTCACCTTCCCCCCATATGTTGAAAATTCATCAATATAGCAAAGTATCTGTATGGTTTTTGTTCCTTTGCTTTTTTCCGGAATTTTTTCCCCCTCCTGTCACCCATAAAAAAAATTTGGGCATAGGGGTCCCAATTTTACTTCCCATCGCATTTGCCCATACATTGAAGATGATGCCCTTTTTGGGAAACCCAAAGTAGTTGTGTGTAAGTATAAATTTCAATGGCTTTTCCCAAAATCCTCAGCAGTGATTTGTTGTTTGGTGAGGTTTGATAAGGATCTGTGACATGAAAGCAATCCATTCCTTGTGGGGGGAAAATTTACATAAAGGGTTTACACATCCAAAGTCACTAGAATTTATTAGTTTGGAAATTTGTGGTTGTTTTTTAAATCTTTTTTCAGAAAGTCAGTTGTGTCTTGCGGGAAACTACCCATATTCAGACAAAACGGTTTTTTTAAAATTTTTTCTCCCAAGGGCCTGAGATTTGTTCGGTGAGTGTATTCCATACCTGTTTGATGGGTCTCCCGGGTTTTCCGGGCTTTGGCCCTTTGGGCAGCATGTAGAAGCCCCCCGATTTCTGGATGACCCGGGAAATTCGCATTTATAATTTCTGAATTTTAGGGGGGCTGGAAGTGTTTTAATGGGGACCTTTTAATTGCTTTGTAAACCCCCGGGGTTTGGGATCATGATCCATTTTTTATAGTAGAGGGCCCTTTTTCCCAAAGCTGCCTCGGGCCCTTTCTTGTAGTATTTGTTTGTATCCATCACAACAACTCCCTCCCCCTTTGCCCCGGGGGTTT